CACATCTTAAAGTAAAACATGCAATAACAATAACACAATGTTTGGGAAAGTAGAAATGGAAGTATACTATTGTAAAATTTCTATATTAAGCATGGTACAATATCACTGGGATAAGTTAAAGATGTATGCTATAAACCATAAAACAATATTAAAATAATACAAAAAAGAGTTTTAGCTAATAAAACAAAGAAGATAAAATGAAATCATAAAAAATAATCAATTGATACAAAAGCAGGCAGAAAATGAGGAAAAGGGGATAAAGAACATGTGAAACAAATAGAAAATAAATATAAAGGTAATAGATTGAAATTTAACCATATCGTAAATCCCATTAAATGTAAATGGTTTAAATACCTCATCCAAATGACAGAGATTGTCAGATTTGATAAAAAATAAAGATCCAACTACATGCTGGGAAGGGTACTCTATCAGCCTGATAAAAGTCATGTATTAAACACCTGCAGCATTCATCATGATTAGTAATGAATACTGAATGCTTTTCACCTAAGAGAAGTGACTTGACAAGAATGTCTGCTCCCACCACTTGTATTCAACATTGTAGAATATTGGTTTTAGCCAATGCAATTAGACTAAGAAAAGAAATAAGCATCATCCAGATTGGAAAAGAAAAAGTAAAACTGTCTTTAATTGCAATTGACATGATCATCTATTTTCTGTGTAAAAAATCCAGTGGAATGTACAAAAAGCTACTAGAACTAGTGAATGAGTTTAGCAAGTTTGCAGGATACAAAATAAATATACAATAGTCAATTGTATTTCAATATTCTAGCAATGAATACAGTCAGCCCTCCATATCCAAAGGTTCCACATACATAAATTCAACCAACTATGGATCAAAAATATTTGGAAAAAAAATAATACAATTTAAAAAATACAATAAAAATGTAATAACCATTTACATAGCATTTTCATTGTATTAGGCATTATAAGTAATCTAGAGATGATTTAAAGTATATGGGAGGGTGTGTGTAGGTTATATGAAAATACTACACCATTTTGTATAAAGTACTTGAGCATCCATGGATTTTGGTATCCTTGGGTGGGAGTCCTGGAACCAATCCCCTGCAGATACTGAGGAATGACTTTAATTAGAAATTGAAACTTTAAAAAAATGCCATTTTCTAGAGCATCAAAAAATGTGAAATACTTAGGAAAAATCAGACAAAACATATGAAAGACTTGTACCTTGCAAACTACAAAAATTTGCTTAGAGAAATGAAAGAACACAGAAAAAATTAGAGATATACAGAGATATACTGTGTTCTTGGGAAGACTCAATATTGTTAAGATATGAATTCTCTCTTTAGATTTGCTGTATTCCCAGTCAAACTCCCAACAGTCTTTTGTGGTTGTTGTAAACATTAACAAATGCATTCTAAAAATCATATGGATGTGCAAGGACCTAGAATAATTCAAACAACTTTGAAAAAGAACAAATGGAGGGCTAACACAACATGATTCAAGACTTACCACAAAAGCTATTGTTACCCAGGCAGTATGGTATTGGTTCGGAGCTAGACAAATAAATCAATGGAACAGATAGCCCAGAAATAGGCACACACGTTTGGACAACTGATTTTTGACAAAGCTACAAAGTTAACTCAGTGGAGAAAGAAAGCCTTTCAACAAATCATGCTTAGACACTTGGATATGCATATGCAAAAATGCAAAAAAAAAAAAAAAAACCCACAAAAGAGTGAACTTTGATCCAAACTTGCACCATATAAAAAATTAACTCAAAACAGATCCTAAACCAATTATAAAGCCTAAAACTATAAAACTTTTAGAAGAAAACATGAGATAACTTTTGTGATCTATAGTTGAGCAAAGAAATGACACCAAAAGCACACTGTACAAAAGAACATGTTGATAAGTGGAACTCACAAAAATTAAAATTTGAAAGATACTTCTGAGAATAAAAAGAAAAGCCAAAACTGAAAGAAAATGTTTGCAAGTTATATTATCTGATAAAAGACTTATACTCAGAATATATAAAAACTCTGAAAATTTACTTATCAGGAAACAACCTAATTTTTAAAATGGACAAAAGATTTAAGCAGACATTTCACCAGAGAAGATATACAGCAAGAGAACAAACATATGCGCTCAGTATCATTATCCTTTAGAGAAATACAAATTAAAAGCACAAGGAGATATATTACACACCTGTTAGAAGAGATAAAACCAAAAAGACTGACCACACAAAATGTTGGCAAAGATGTGGAGCAACTGCTGGTGAAAATATCCTCTTGATGGGTATGTGACATGTTGTAACCACTTTTGATCCAGCCATTCCACTCCTAGGTATTTACCCAAGAGAAATGAGAAGATTTGCACATGAATGTTCGTAACAGCTCTATTTGTAATAGTCAAATGCTGGAAATAACACAAATGACCGTAAACAGGTGAGTGGGTAATCAAAACTTGATAGATCCATGTAGTGGAATACAGCAATAAAAAAAAATAGTAGAATGCAGTAATTAAAAAAAAACTTTTGATACATACTACAACATGGACAAATCAAAACAAGTAACAGCTCTATTTGTAATAGTCAAATGCTGGAAATAACACAAATGACCGTAAACAGGTGAGTGGGTAATCAAAACTTGATATATCCATGTAGTGGAATACAGCAATAAAAAAAAATAATAGAATGCAGTAATTAAAAAAAAACTTTTGATACATACTACAACATGGACAAATCAAAACAATTATGCCGAGTGAAAGAAACTAGATAAAATACAATTCATAATGTATGATTCCACCCATATAACATGTTAGAAAATATAAATGCAATGGACTGAATGTTTATGTCCCCCCAAATTCATGTTGACATCCTAACCCCCAAGATGATGACATGAGCAGGTGGGGCCCCTGGGAAGTGATTAGGTCATGAGGGCCGAGCCCTCACAAATTAGATCAGTGCCCTTATAAGAGAGACTCCAGGGAGTTCATTTGTCCCTTTCACTATGTGAGGACACAGGAAGATGGGGCTGTGAGTGAGCCAGAAAGCAGGCCCTCACCAGGCACAAAATCTGCCTTGATTTTGGACTCCTCAGCCTCTGGAACTGTGAGAAATACATTTTTGTGATTTCTAAGCTATTCATTTTATGGTCTTTTTTTTTTTTTTTTTTTATAGCAGTCTGAACAGACCAAGATGGTAAAGTCATCTACAATTACAGAAAGCAGATCAATGTTTGCATGTGGGTGGCATTTGGAGAAGGAAGAAGGAGGAATTATAAGAAATCATGAGTAAACTTTGGGAGAGATGCATATATGCTCGCTATCTGGATTGTGGTAATGGTTTAATGGGTGTATACATGTGTCAAAACTTATCCAATTTTATACTTAAGTAAGTACAGTTTATTGTATTTCAATTATAGCAGTATATACTAGTTACCAGAACTATGTGCTGTTGGGGACCTGAGGTTTATAGACCTGTTCATATTAGGGGACCATAAGGGCTTTAGGAAGATAAAATATTCATATGGAAAATATAACATCCTAATATCAGTCATATAAGACAAGGGATGTAGTAAAAGAGACACAGAGGGAGAATTACGGGACCTGGGGCAAGGAGCAAAACACCAGCGTGCAGAATTCATAGAAGACATTTAAGGGCAATTCTCACTGTGAACCTCATAGAATTCTGCATGTGCAAAGTTCCTGCTATAGTGTGAATGTTTGTTCCTTCCAAAGCTCATATGGAAGCTTGATCCCCCTTGTAACATTGTCAAGGGGCTGGGAAATCCCACTAAGGCATTTGAAAGGTGGGGCCTTTAAGAGGTGATTGGATAATGAGAACTATGTTTTCATGAATGAATTAATCCATTCACGAATTAACAGATTAATGGGTTATCATGGGAGGAGACTGGGGACTTAAGAGGAGAGGAAGGAAGCACGTGGAAACACTCTTGCTCAGCCTCTTCTCATGTGATTCCCGGCATCACCACGGGACTCTGTAGAGAGTCCCCAGCAAGAAGAAGCCCTCACCAGATGTGTTCCCTGGACCTTGGACTTCCCAGCTCACAAAACCGTAAGAAATAAATTTTGGTTTTTTATACATTATCCAGTTTCAGGTGTTCTAAGTGGGAGAAAATGGACTAATACAGTTTTCTTCTATGAACATTAGAAATGTATTAATAACAGAAAGAAAACAGGATTCCAAGGACCAGGTTTCACAGGTAAATGCTAAGCTTGCATCATGGACAGCTTGACTGTGGGATGCTAGACTCCCGAGCCATCGACCCGGGAATGGCAACAAGGCTCCCCTACACCCCATTGCTACTGGGGATTCCAGACATGTACCCCTAAACTTGCCTGTCTGTCCCCTCTTCCTCAAACTTCCTTGCTGGGTCCCTCTCTGCCTTGGCACTTGGAGAGACTTGGAGCTTTGCAGTCAGAAGGAATCTTCTCTGACAGCTGGTCTCACAGTCTCCTTTTTCCCAGCAGGTGACAGAGGCTTACATCACTTAATTCACTGGCCTAAATTCCCGTGCAGTTCAACAGCAGAAGCGGCACTCAGATCTGTGTGTCCTGACCACAGTCTGGTGTTCTTTTATTTCTGAAACTGTTGGACTGACCTGCCCTGTTATGCTTTGCAAGGGACTGATCAGCTATTTAAGAGCTAAGGAAAACTTTTATAACAGCAGTTGTTCCTTGGGGACGGTGTCTGGGGCTTTTTGAAAGGAGAAAAAAGCTTGTTCAGTTGGCAGGAGAATAGAGGTCAACACCTCCCTTCCTGTCCCACCCAGTGTGGCCAGGAATCAAGCTAGAGTAACAAAATACATCTGTGAACAAGAAAGTTTATAGGATGAGAAGGTGACTGCAGGACAAGCTTATGCCCAGCATCGTTTGAGGGCAGCACCGAGTCAGTTTGTAGTGGAGTCAGCCTCCTGGTCTGACTGGAATTAATAGATAATTTGTAGGCTTGTGTGGCTACAGGTGAAAAGCACTTGCTCCAAAAGGCTGCTGAGTGTGGGGGTGTAGCTCAGGGGTAGAGCCTTTGACTGCAGATCAAGAGGTTCCCTGGTTCAAGTCCAGGCATTTCCTATATTTCCTTGGCTTTTGTAACCTAAATGTGGTAATTTTCCTCTCAGGATTACAGGATACAGAACCTGCCTGGAAGGAAGAAAGGACCCAGGTGTTTTACCATGGATTGCTTCAAACTGTCTTCTCCTGTGCTGACTTCAATTCTACCTCCTTGGGTTCCTGCATTTCACCTTTCCGTGTAGAAGTAGTGTATTACCCCACAACCCATTTGCCCTCCCCAGTCTGTGTCAGATACAGTCAAGTCTTATAATTCAACCTCCCTTTTTGGAAGTGGCCAATTTCTCCCACTGGGTGTGTGTGTGTGTGTGTGTGTGTGTGTGTGTGTGTGTGTATTACCCTCCAAAATCTGTAGGCAAAGTTTGCTAATGGGTTAGATGTGGAGTATAGGAAAAATATATGCGATATAGAAAACTCTAAGTTTTGGTCTGAACAACTGGAAACCAGAATTATTAAATGAGAAGGGGAAAGACTTTAAAAAGAGAAGGTTTTGGAAAGAAGGTCAATTTGGTTTTGATATGTTACATTTGAGATGCCTACTAAATATTCAAGAAGAAATACTGAGCAGATAGTGGGATATTTGACACTTAAATTCAGGAGTAAGGTCAGGGCTGGTGTCTTAGTCTGTTTTGTGCTGCTATAACAGAATATTACAGACTGGGTAATTTATAACGAACAGAAATTTATTGCTCACGGTTCTGAAAGCCTGGAAGTCCAAGACTGAGGGACTGCATCTGGCGAGGGCCTTCTTGCTGTGTCATAACATGGCAGAAAGCATCACATGGAGGAAGGGCAAAGAGAGAGTGGGAGAGAGGAAAGGGTGACCAAACCTTCCCTTTTATAATGAACGCACTCCTGAGTTAATGGCATTAATCCATTTGCTCTGCCCTCAAGACCTAATCACTGCCCATTATGCCCCAAATCCCAACACTATTGCATTGGGAATTAAGTTGACAACACATGTTTTTGGGGGGACACATTCAAACCATATCAGCTGGAAATACAAATGCAGTAGTCAACAGCACAGAGATGGCATTTAAAGCCACAAGATTGGATGGAATCACCAGGGAAATGAAAGTAGACAGAGGAAGAGCCACCCAAGGTTAATAAACAAGGGGGATAACAAAGAAACAGCCGAGGAGACTGAGGAGGCGTGGCCAGTGCAGTAGGAGGAAAACTAGAGCGGTCTCCTGGAAGTGAAGAAAGGCTTTTGAAAGTGTTCCAAGGAGAAAGTGTTCACGTGTCAAATCCTGCTCGAAGGTCAGGTGGGGTGAAAAATGACCTTGACCACTAGCATTAGGAACATGTGAGCTATTGGTGACCCAGACAAGAGCAACCCCAACGGAGCAGTGAGTGCAGCAACCTGATGGGAGTGGATTTAAGAAAGAATGAGAGGAGAGGAAGCAGAGACTGTGCATAGAGATGAGTCTTTCAAGGAATTTTTCTATAGATGGAAGCAGAGAGACATGGTATTAGTCAGAGGGAGTGGAGGGTTTGAAGAAGTTTGTTGTTGTTGGGAGAAATAACAGGGAAATTTTATACGGTAATGGGACCATAGAGTCCCATTTAGAGTGGGCAGGAGAAAATCAGTGATGGAAGAGGAAAGAGGTTTAACAACCCACTTAGAAAATGGCAAAGGACTATTGTCCATCATCGGATGAGTGGATACGGAAAATGTGGTATATCTACACAATGGAATACTACTCAGCTATAAAAACAAATGAAATACTGCCATTTGCAACAACATGGATGGACCTTGAGAGAATAATATTGAGTGAAAAGAGACACACACAAAAAAAACCGGGGGTGGGGTGGGGAAGAAGATATAACAACTATACTTTTTTTGAAGTTGTTACAACAAGCAAACGGAAAGGACATTCTTGGGGGGGAGGGGAGAGAGGGAGGAGGACACACACAAAAAAAACCGGGGGTGGGGTGGGGAAGAAGATATAACAACTATACTTTTTTTGAAGTTGTTACAACAAGCAAACGGAAAGGACATTCTTGGGGGGGAGGGGAGAGAGGGAGGAGGGCGGGAGGTGTCGGTGAAGGGCCATAATAATCATATACATTGTATATTGACAAAATAAAAATTAAAAAAAAAAAAAAAAAGAAAATGGCAAAGGACTTGAATAGACATTTCTCCAAAGTAGATATTCAAATGGCCAACAAGCATATGAAAAGATGCTCAGCGTCATTAGTCCTTAGAGAAATGCAAATTAAAATCACCGTGAGATGCCACTTCATACCCACTAGGGGGTTGCCTTAGTCTGTTTCTGTTGCTTATAGCAAAATACCTGGAGCTGGGTGATTTATAAAGAAAATGAAATTTATTCCGTACAGTTTCAGAGGGGAACACAACTGGCAAAGGCCTTTGTGGTGGTGACAGTGACCCACAGGTCTCACGTGGCAAGATGGTGGAAGCAGGGAGAGCAGAGAGAGCCTAACTTCCTCATTCATTCTCCTTTTAAAGCCCTACAAATCATGCCCCTGCCCACCATTATTAATCCATTCACTGCAGCACGGTCCTACAATCTAATCACCTCTTCAAGGCCCCACCTTTCAATGACCATAATAGGATTCCCCACCTTCTTAACTGTCACAGTGGGGGGGCTAAGTTTCTAACACATAAAACTTGGGGGACACAATTCAAGCTTCAATTCTTAACAGTCACAGTGGGGGGGCTAAGTTTCTAACACATAAAACTTGGGGGACACAATTCAAGCTTCAATGAGTTTGTGAGGGGCCTTCAATCCACTACAGGGCTGTGATTTTTAAAAACGGAAAATAACAAGTGGTGGAGATGATGACAAATAAAGAACACTTGTGCATTGCTGGTGGGAATGTAAAATGCTGCAGCTGTTGTGGAAAACTGTCTGGCAGTCCCCCCAAAAGTTAAACATAGAGTTATCATATGACCCAGTGACTCCACTCCCAGGTATATACGTAAAAGTCCGAATGTTCATCAATGAATGAATGAATGAACAAATTGAGGTATCTACTTACAGTGGAATGTTATTCAGCTGTAAACAAGAACGAAGTGCTCATGCATGCGTGGATGAAACTTGAAAACATCATACTAAGTAAAAGAAGCCAGACACAAAAGATCACATAATATATAATTCCTTTTATATGAAATATCCAGAATAGGTAAATCCATAGAGAAAGAAAACAGATTAGTGGTTTCCAGGGAATGGGATAGAGGGAGAATGGGAAGTGATTACTTAATGGGTATGAGGTGTTCCTCTGGGTTGATGAGAAAGTTTTGAAACTAGAGAGAGGTGGTGGTTGCCCAATATTGTGAATGCACTTAAATGGCACCGAATCGGACACTTTAAAATGGCTAATTGTATGTTATCTGAATTTCATCTCAATTTAAAAAGGAGGGGGGAGTTACTGAAGAGATGTCTTTGACCAGGAGAGGAGAGCTAGGACACAGAGCACAGGTGGAGGGGTTGGCCTTGGCTAGGAGCACAGACAGGTCATGCACAGTGACTGGAGGGAAGGCAGCATTTATAGGCTCAGGTGCTGGGAAATGGGCAGATGTCCTGGCGGGGGATGGTGGGCCAGTTCTTATGCTGCCTCTATTTTCTCAGTGAAGTCTGAGAGAGTCGAAGATGGGAAAGGAGCTATGGGAGGTTTGAGGAGAGAGGAGAAAGCATGAAATATTTATGTAAGAGAGTGGGAAAGTCACTGGAGTAGAGACTGACCAGAGCCCACTCAAGCTTGCCGGTCGTGAGTCTGAAGTGAGTACAGTCAACACGTTATGTGTTTTTCTCCAGCTGTATGCAGCTGGCAAGTGTAGGCGCAGAGCAGGTGGAGAGACTGACTAAGGCTGTACATGTAGTCCCAGGCATGTACAGTGAAGGACAGATGGTGTGTGCAAGTAAGTGGTTACAATGAGGGATAACGGCATCTGAGCTGGATAAAGAAGAAACAGAAAACGTGAGTGGAGAGGGACGGAGACGAGGTGCTGGAACTATATTTTATACCACAGTTTCTTAATCACATCCATGAAGAGTTTATAGGTGTGCTGAGATCTTGATGCCCTTGGCCCTTGAGGTGGCTGGTTGGGGGGTTGGGTGGCTTGAGCCTTTTTGTTGGTCACCCCCAGCTTGGAGTAGCCTATTTTATACTAGTGCGCCACAGAAAATATCATTATTTCAAACATGTATCTTCTACGTGTGCCAACCTGTGAGAAAGGTAAGGAAGTTTGATTTCATCTGGGCACTGGAAAACCTGCTGCATTACATGTCTCCTATTATCTGCTGTTGGGTCTTTATACAGCTCCTAACCTCTCATTATTATAAACAATTCTGCAGTGAGCATCCATACATGTCACTGAACACTCATCTGATCGTGTTCTTAGAAAAAATTCCCAGAAATGGAATTGTGAAGTCAAAGAATATATAGATTTTAAGCCCTTTTTTAGGAAGTTAGCTTTTTGAAATTTTGCATCAATTTATTTTCTCCACAGTAGCTACTTAGTTGATTTTTCTTTCTTTCTTAAAATTTCTTATTATATAAAATTGCATACATACAAAGGTTTGCGCAATTTTTGTTTTCAAAAGCATAAAAATTAAATGAACACCCATATATAAACATTTTGCTTGCTTTTGAACTTATATTAAAAGGTATCTTCTGCAACTTCTTTTCTCTCAGTGTTAGGTTTTTGAGACTCATCTCTGTAGATGTGTCTAGCAGCAGTTCATTTTATTTTCACTGATATATAGTATTCCACTGTATGAATATACTACACTTTTCTTATTTGTTTTCCCGTTGATTTACTCTATCAGTCTGAGTCTGATCAGGAGAGAAAAACCATACTGTAACTTGAATAGGGAAATTTTAAATAATAATAATAATAATAAACTATAACAGGGGATTGGAATAGTGAGGGATTCACTAATAACAAGAAAATAGAAACTCTGGAGGGGATAGAATAACAGATTATTAAGAGTAGCCACTGTCCGTGGGGCCGAAATGGAGCAGCCAGGGAAGAA